GGTGATACGTGGACTAAGCCCAGGAGAGGGGAGAACGCCAGGGAGAACACATTGCTCACATCCTACTCCAGGATCCCTTCCCCGCGCCTAAGGACTAGTCCCAGCACAGCAGTTATCTCACAAACTTTAATGTTATTCCCCCCCCCCCCCCACCGACATGAGCGCCGCCTATTGCAATGCCTTTCGGAAGCCAGCCAATGTACCGGTCAGTGTTTGTCCTTCCAATTCTATCTGGTACTGACCATCCTAACCCCGTGGGTGATGGTCTTAGCTGATCTTGGCAAGATTTGATCCGAGAACAGATTGCACAAGCCTCTTGAGTCATCCAGTAATTTCGTAACCGCAAGAGTATTAGGTTGTCCGAAAAGTACTTGCGGAAAGCACCCCATCCCACAAGTCGGAAAATTTGACCTTTTTCACTGTCTTATTCTTGAAGTAGTTGTTCAGGTAACTTTTCGGAAGAATTCAGCCACATTCGATATGAAGCGAACGTCACTTTGGTTTTTGCGAAGCTGATTCGCATGGTGAGTCAGGGGCGGATTCATAATACCACCTCAAACATAAAATCATGCGCATCGGCCGTGTTTCAGGTGGAAACCGAAGCGAAAGTGGACTTTTTGTTCGAATATCTGACGGTAGGTTGAATCTGGAATTGCTTCTCAACTCATGTGACGATTCAGTATGTATGATTTGCCTGAGATACATTATTCAATCCCACTAAGCGCACTTAGCGTTAAGGCGCAAGATTGCTCAGAAACGCTACTTCATAACTTATAAAGTTATGGCAATGATCCTAGAAGTGCTGAAGGGTAAATAAATGATAATGATGAATTAATAAATGCTACTGAGAGAGTTGAACAATCATCCTGCTGCTCACCGATTGTCATTTTTTCAGGATTGGATTGATGAACGTTTGAGGTGGTCGCCGGATGATTACTGTGGAATCACGCATCTTTATGTGGGTCTCGAAGATGTATGGATTCCAGAAGTTTCCATAGTTGAGGCGTAAGTATTGGAACCTGTTGTCGAATACTTCCGAATACTTAGTTCTTTACTTGAGTGACTTCTTCAAGTTTTTCCTATAATCGTCGTCTAGCGAGGTTGGAGCGCAGCCAGGTAAGGAACAGCTGCAGTTCCAGCTCCGAATCGCTTGCAAGAGAATTCGGCGTCATAATGTGATTCGGGCGGAGCTAGTCGCGGCCGCGGCGCGCAGCATGTTCGCAATCTCTCAGTGAAAGAGTGTGTGAGTAAGAGCACGCGTGCCAAAAGACTCGTCTCACCCCCCCCTAAAAGCTTGTTACACTCCCCCTGGCTCATGGATTTCTCGCTCCGCACTGAAGTACGCGAACATGAAGCACGCCTAGGTGCGGTTCCCCGGACCACATTGCGCCGAGTATCCGTAAACCAGGGAAATGCAGGGGAGGAGGTGGGAGGTGGGTGGGTACGGTTTTCGGCCATTCGAATTAATCGCACGCAGCTTTGGCAAAAAACAACTGTAGATTTAGCGTTGAATCTTCAGCATAAATGCCTCATTGACACCGTCTCTATCGCCCCTTACTTCCTTAAAAGATGATCCTCGAAGATGATCCCATCTGATTTGCACTTGTGCAGCTCATTCCTCAAACTGTGCATCCCCCTAAGGGTTCACTAACACGCCTAAAAAGGGTGCATTGTCACAAGGGCCAGCCGGATATTTTCAAAATGTTGCGAGCAATTATATAAAGAACCAATTTTGTAAATTTTCAGCCATTCATCACAGGACTTCCGCCAAGACTACCAGAAGTTCGTGTGGGTTCGTTCAAGTTTAAACTCACATTTTTTGATAAACAATTAGGAAAAAATGTATTGGAACTGCTCGATTGCTTTAGTTTCTCAGAACCGCTGACGTTTGAAAGAATTTAGAGCAAGTTACTACCATTTTAAGGTTGAAACCTTGCACGTGCCCAAAAAAGCAGATTGGGGTGGTTGTTTGAGGGGCTTAATTGACAGTTGGGACATTTTTTATGGGAAAACTAATTCGGATATTCCTGAAGATGGTGTATACGCCGAAATATAGCGGTAGTTTCAAAGAAATTCTTTTAGATTTTTGGCTTTTTTTTTGGAGTATTTGGACTCTTGTGAACTTTTGGAATTCTTTTGGAATAAAACTTTCGGAGCTTCTCTGTGTTTAACAAATTTATTGGCCTTCATTGCACACCTACTTTTGTTTATTTTGTCGTGTCCGATTCCATTTCTTACTTCGAAATATAACAGTTGTGACTCTTCTCTGATGCTTGTTCAGATTAACCATACTGGCGAACTCACAGCGTTTTTCCCTACTTTCACTTCAACGGTATGCAAGCTTCAGGTGAGTAAACGTCAAAGGTTGGAACTTATTCACTCGATTAAATATTCAGGTACATGACTTTCCATTCGATGAACAGAATTGTTCCATCAACTTGATGCCGCAGTCGTTTTCGCCCTACGAATTCGGTTATGTAACAAAATTCAATCTGAATCTCATGAATCAACTGGATAAATTGGTTTAGTTTTCTACATTGCCATACCGGTCTACTG